TTATTATCTGCAGCATCTGAAATGCAAAGTGTGCAAGGACAGACCTTTACAACGCCAACCGAAATTACTGGAAAATACATGTGGACGCCCCCAATTCCACATGCCAAAGCTCTTGTTAATCAACTTGCCCAGGCTGATGTGTATTTGTCTGAAACAGCCATTGATTTCTTTATGAACCTTTGTGGTGGACACAGAGGTATTTTCATGAGAGCCATGGAATGGGTGCAGGAAAAGCAGAGCAGGAACAGCGCTCCGTGGAATTTGACTCGCGCCCTTGGGGAGGCTAGCCTAGCATGGGACACAGAGAATTGGATTCATGCCCCAGATGATAGCTTGATGAGGAAACTTCAGGCTAGTCGGGCCATTCGTGTGAACGGGCGTTTTGCAAGCTTGGAGAACGTACCAGAACAATTTATGAAAGTCTTGTGCGAGGGTCCAACTGATGATATCGCAATATCTCTCCGCCGCGAGCTCACAATTTGTGGTTTTGTACTTCCTGCTCAAGACAAGATGGAGGCGGAGCAAAATGAGTTTCAGCGACTGGATTGGGCAGACGTGGGGAGAAAGTATTGCGTCGCCAATTACCTGATGGCTTCCTATTACCGCTCAGTGCTTGCAGTCAAGCGGCAGCTGACAGTGGATGTAGACAGAAACCCAGTTTCTTGCACAGATCTGCTTTTGCGAGCGCTGCCATATTTGCTTTTTGCAGATGTGGTGGTGGCCACAATAGGGAAAGATAATGTTCTACCTGATGTTTCACAAGAGCAGCTCCCATTTGAGGTTCATTACACCTTTGCTTTAATTCGCGTGTTGAACCGCTTGGGAGTTGGACGCGCAAATAGTTTGGAGAGCCCAAGTATGGGGAAGGTTGACATCTATTGTACAATACCGGACGGTTCAACTTTCGCCATTGAAGCGGTCATGGCTGCCCGCAGAGCAGCTGAAATTAAAGAACATCGAAATCGCTTTGACAATGTGTCGAACTACGCAAACGCCAAGCACAAGTGCTTGCTCACCATTGGAAGGAAGGGCCACCAATTGAGAAAACTTGTGCAAGACACGTGGGGTGGTATAGAGGGTATAGAGATTGTTGGACTTGCTGCCAATTCAGCACACACCGGCTACCATGTCTATGTCAAGCAGCAAGAGCAGCAAGGTAAGGAAGTCTTGGACTTCTACATCCCATGCGATGGAGTTGCAAGGAGCTTTTCCTTCAAGGATGAAGAACCATTCTTTGAGATCAGTTCTGCCCAGAAGTTCAAATCCATTCAGCCAGGCTGGATTTCTCTTGATATTCAAACTCACAGGTCTGGGTTTCGTCAGAACGTGTAGGCAGTAATTGGTTTTCACTGTAATGAACTGACAAGTCACATGCATTCAAAGAACATTTCAAGATAGTTTTCTAATTTGAGTTATCAATGCAAAGTAGACCCACTTTGTCTTCATCGAACTCTGCAAGGCCCCGCCACTGGAACCCAGACCAAAGCCGTTTGGGTGAGGCAATTGCAGAAGGACCGCCGCTGTCGACAGAGAGATACTCCGTTGGTTTTGTTTCAAATGATTGGTAGACATTCAGTTTCGGGAGTTCATGAACCTTTTACTCCGAAAGTCGTTCATTTGGTTGAGTCCAAAACCAACAAGTGTTGATGGTGTTCATGTGCTTTTCTCCCAAGTCAAAAGGATTGCTGATAAGTCATGACATGTTCTTGGCAGGGTTTAGGACTGTTAAAGGCGGTAGATCGCAGGGTTCATTCTTCGGCGTTTGTTGAAAGGTACCTTCCAAAACGTATTCCTTAATGTGACAGCAAAACAAGAACACATTTGACGGTGTTCGCGGAATTTTCATCCCAATACAAAACTATGATTATGGATAAGTCCGCTGAACAAGCTAGCTCATCCTATGAATCATCTCAATGATGTGTTGAAGAAGAAAGTCGCAGTTCCTCTAAAGCCAAAATCCACAACATATGCCGTGGTGCTCAAGTAGAGAAGTCCGTGGCGCCACGCAATACACGGAAGTCTGTGGCACTGATTGCAATACCTTTTAGGGTGTATACCTTGGGTTTGTTCATTCCTCAGGTTGAAAGATATCTTCCACAACAGTCTTCTTTGCTTTGGTAGAGACGTTTGAGACCAAAGGTTTTCTATGTTTCTTCTGCTTGTTCCGGGTCGGCCAATTCAACTCTGTTTCCACATATGACCAGGCGCGCCCGATGTTTTCCAAACGGAGCTTTCACCGTGGGGATGACCATCGCAGGTGCCACTCCCATCTCGGCATAGTTGGGATGAAGTTTCAATGCCTCCGTCGTTGTGGGTCTCAAAGCCTTGGTGTTGGAGGTCAACGAGAGATATTCATCCGTTAAGGGCTCCTTCCACTTCCCCAGCTCGCGTCGCACTTGTTGGAGAGGAACTGTATAGGTTTGAAGCACCGTGCTTGGTCTTGAGAAAGTGCCAACACCTGTGGTGGCTTCATCATTCATTGCTGCAATCTTAGACCACCGTGCTCCCTCCAGCACTCGATGCTGCTCCTCCAGGATCACTTCCCTTGAAAACACCATCGCTTCTAACCAATGGAGCCATTCTCCATGTTCTCGTCCCT